TGTTTATTTCTTATGGCTCCTCTGTGCTAACCCCAGATGCTTTTGTTTGCTTGTAACCTTTAAGTTGAACCCCCAAGAAAGCTATTTTGGGTGCTTAATTTTTGGAATTGCTCTTTTAAAATCTAGCAAAAGCCTAAGTTCCAGATGTATTTTTTTTTGTTTTGTTTTTAATAAAATTTACCTTTTTTAAGAACAGGTTTGGATTTTTGGTGTCCTAAGAGCACATGTTGTTTAATTAGCTGGGGGGGGGGGCAACAGCTAATTTCCTTTGTTTTCTTTCTCAGCTCTTTCCTGGAGTGGGGGTGAAAGGGCTTGAGGGTACCCCACAGGGAGGAATTCCCAAGTGCACCTTCCTGGTTCCAAGGATTTTGCATTTGGGTGGTGGCAGCTCTACCCAGCCAAGGTCAGAGAAAAGTTGTAACTTTGGGAGTTTAATACAAGCCTGGAGTGGCCAGTATTAATTTTTTAAAATCCTTGCGGGCCCCACATTCTGCACTCGACGGGCCAGAGTGGGGAATCAGCCTCGACACGGTGGCAGAGCGGTGGGATCATTTTGAACCAGAAACACAGACCTCGGGATTTTAAAAGGGCACTACTACCCCCACTTCATTTATCACCAGTTGAAAGGGGTGAGGGAAGGCAGCCCAGGAGGAACAGGCGAGAGGGTCTTCACCAACACACCGGGGATCTCCAGAGTTAAAAACATGAGCTGCTACAGCTTAATAACCCATGCTCCATTTGTGAGGTGTGCAATGACTGGTATCCCCTGTGGAGTGGCACAAGGCTAACCTGTAATGCACTTACCACTGGGTTACAATAGCACATTGTGGGGATGTCTGCACTGCAGCTGGGACCAAGCCCCCCAGCCCAGGTAGACAGACATGCGTTAGTGGGGCTCATGCTAGTGCGCTAAAAATAGTGTGTAGACGGGCCAGCCATGAGCTCAAGCCCACCCTACACCCTGGGTATGAGCCTGGGTTGCTAGCCCAAGCCGTGCCAGGGCCACACAGCTGTTTTTAGTGCCAGAGCATGAACCCCACTAGCCTAGCTGGGCTGGGGGCTCGTTCCCAGCTGCCGTGGCGACACACCCTGTGATGCGCTGGAGAGAGACAAGGGCAAGATGCGTATGATGAAGAGTTTTCCAGACATGGCGCAGG